TCACCCAGACTGGGGGCTAGGATTCCTGTGGCCACAGATTTTTGTCTCGGTGTGTGTTAAATGCATAGCCAGCAGGCGTTTCCATCATTGTTAACTAGATGCCAGTATTAGACCTGTCTGATTCTGATATGTAAACTTGTAACTTTTATCTGCATCAGATAACTGAACTCTATGCTGGAATCAGCAAATTTAAAGGAAATAATATCATACTCTTGACTGTTGGAAATGAGTCACTGCCAGATTTCCGCCATCTGTGCAGAGGAAGGGGACCCTAGGTCACTGTGACATTTGTCTTTAAAGTCTCTGTTCCCTGTGAAAAGTCAGTCAAGGACCTACAGGTCCCAAATTTCATGTAATTTGCGGTTTTATTCATTTGAGGTTGAAAGAGACACGGTGTGGAAATCATAAACATTCTCACATTTTGGATACGTCTGAGAATTTACAGGACATTATATGCAGTATGTATAGGCAGTTGTAAGAAATTGTTCCAGAATGAGGCAGCCTAAATACCAACAGCTAATGGGGAGTTTGTAGTAGCAGGCATGAAATTAATTTTTCCAGTCCCATCTCAGTGAATGGAAGTTGTAATGTTCAAAGCGAGGGATGTAAAGGGGCTCCAATTTCACTATTTAAGCATAGCCCCCTGGACAGCGAGTTGATGAAAACAAAATATTTTCTAAGCATATTGGAATCTTGGGTCCAAATGGTTGTTGCTCAGTATTTGGCACGGGTCTGCACATAGGGTGGAGGTGAACAAAGAAAGCAAATACATGTGACCTTTGTGAGGCTGGTATTTCCTCCATGAAGCCCAAAGGTGCATAGATACACAAATATTAGCCTGTTCTTATGCTGGCCCCTCTGAGCATCCCTGCATCTAACCACGTGCTTGCAGCTGCTGTTCCCTGCAGGCGCTGTCATCAGTTTTACTGGTACAGGGCTGGGCTCATCAGTGTCCCCACCAATTGGAACTGAGCCCTCCAATTGGCCCTCTCCTCTTCCTGTGCACCCTGTTTATTGGTGCCAGATTCCACTCTGGGGCAGGTGGCTGACGTGCTGGTTCCTCCAGGGTTAGCAGCTGTGGTGGGGGCAGCCTCTGCAGCCATAGGTAGGTTGTCAGTCACTGCATGGTCTTTGCCCGGTAGACCAGGGATGCCCAGGAAGCCTGAATCTCCAAGGTGTGGCTCTCCCCTGAGGTCTTTCTGCTCCTCCAAGTTGAATGCTTTCTTCTTCAGGTTTATGGAAGCCTGCCTGTGCCTCTATGACAGAGAGCCACTGCCTTAATGGAAAATAAAGGGAAATAAATAGGTGCCTTCCCTCTGTGCACCTGTGACTCCTGCCTGACAGTTTCACACGCCGCTTAGACTTTCACAGTTGTCTAACTCACATGGGAAATCGTTCTTTAAAAAAATCTACTCTCTTCATCCAAGCATCTTTTTTTTTTTTTATGAAAGTTTATTGGTACAGTTTAGATATACATAATGGTCACATTCATCATAGGGAATTTGTACCTGTACATTAGTTCCTCTATTTTAATCCCATGTCCCTCCCCTCCCTTTAACCCTGCTTCTTCTTATTTACAAAGTTTTGTTTCTGTTTTACTCTTTTATTTCTGCACCTGTTTCACAGTGTCTGTTACACATTTTGGTCCTTATTTACACTTTTAGTTTCTAACACCAGAGAGACTGTGTGATGTTTACTCATGTCCAATTTATTCCACTTAAGCATGTGGTCTTAAGGTCCATCTGTTTAGCTAGAAATGTCTCAAGTTGGTCCTTTTGTATGGCAGAGTAGTACTCCATTATATAAAAATATTTTTAATGCATTCATAAATTGATGGGCATTTGGGTCATTTCCAAGATTAAACTATTACAAACTGCTGCTATAAATATGGGCGTAGGCATATCATTGTAGTGTGATGCCTTTAATTCTTTTGGGAAAATACCAAAAAGAATAACTGAGTAAAGTGAGACCTCTAGTCCTAATTTTTTGAGGAATCCCTACACTGATTTCCACAGTGATCGTACCATTCCACCCCTGCCAACAGTGGAGAAGGGTTCTAATGAAGTAAAGGATCTCTACATTGAAAGCTACAGTACTCTGGAAAAGGAAATCAAAGAGGATATCATAAAATGGAAAGATATCTCTTGCTCTTGGGTAGGAGGACCCAACATAGTGAAAATGGCCATACTCTCACAATTTTTATGCAGTTATTTAATGCAATCCTGTCATTAGCATACCTTACAGAAATACAGAAAATATTCCTAAAATTCATTAGGAGCCAGAAGAGACCTAGAAAACAGTTCTGTGCAACCAAGGCAAGGCAGGGGACATCAGAATCCCTGACCTAAATTATACTGCAGAGCTACTGTGTTAAAAACAGCATGGTACTGGCACCCCCTTACCACACTAAAAGAACTCCAAACATACTCAGCTACTTTAACTTTGACAACTTCACTGGAAGGTGTTTAATAAATAGTGATGGGAAAACTGGCTTTCCACATGCCAAAGACTAAAACCATTTCATCACCATATACAAAACTAAAATTAAAATGGATAAAAGATATGAATATTAAAACAGGAACATTAAATCTGTTGGAAAAGAAAGTAAGTAGAAATCTTGAAGACAAAGGCGTGGGCAGAGAGTAATGAATAAAACTCTGTAAGATATCTAGATACAAGTCCTTTGTGTGAAGGACAACTGGCAAGTTTGCCAGCGGGTCCTCAAAGGGACTAATATCTGTAATATATAAAGAACTCGCAGAAACCAGACCCTCCCCAAATGCAGAGACCCACTCCAAAAATGGGCATCTCAAGTGAATAGATACTTCTTAGATGGAGAAGTAGAAATAGCAAATAAATATGTGAAAAAATGTTCAACATCATTGATCATTGCAGAGATGCAAATTAAAACAACACAGAGTTTCTATTTCATTCCCGGAAGAATGGCTGTCATCCAAAAATTTACCAATAACAAATGCCAGTGTTGCTGTTGGGGAAAGGGAACCAAGGGTCTTTTTCTCCATCTCCCGTTTGACCTGTGGCCTGCAGCCTGAGGGATGTGGAGGGGTTGCCAGATAAGCTATTTACTAATCTCAAAACATACAGAAAGACACAGGTTTAAAAGGTGTGGCTGTTGAAGGTCTCTGTTTTCTCATCATGACCATATTATTCAGGAAAGAGGAAAGAGCAGGCAGAGCAAACAAACAAAAAGGACAAAGTAACTTCCAAGCTTAGTGACCTGATTTCCTCCTTTCTTTCCTTCTGTCATTTAAAGCTATGTTTTCTCCTGTTTGACATTTTGCTGTGGCATTATACATTTTGTCTTTTATTTTATAAAGCAGCCCAAAGCAATTTTTTTGAAAATACTTTTCTCATAAGAAAACTTTTTAAAATAAAAAACATATGTCACAGTATTTGTTAGCATTTCAGTTATAAAAAGTGGTTTGCTAATCATTTAATTATTATGTATCAATTTGAGTGCCTCATGGGAAGCAGTTTAGCTGTTAACCCAGGATCTTGGTTTCCCCGAGTGTCCCCTCAATCACAGCATGATGGTCTTGGGAAGGTGCTGAGTATTGTGAGGCTCATTTTATAGATGCAGGGAGGTAGGGCTTATCTCTTAATAGCTTTGCTGATCCCTTGCATAAAATAAATGCTCTGTAACTGTTAGCTGCTCCCGTTACTGTCTAGTTATAATAACAATCCTTGGACAGACACACTTTCCACCTCATATGTGGGTACCAGAGCCAGAGGTGGTTGCTTAACTTGCCTGGGGTCACAGGGCTGGTGAAATCTATCCCTGACACTTGGTTTTGGTCATTTAGATCAATAGATGTGATTTAGTTGTTATCACACTGTGTCCATCCAGGCTGATTTCCTGATTCTTAAAAAGTAGTTATAGTTTCACTTGGATAATGAATCTATGCTATGGTTTGCACAATAGGTCTTGACCTGTCTCTGATGACTTGGTATGTGTCTGCTTTAAGTCTTGCTTCTTTAGAGTCCCTTTTCAGAGTAGGAGCCAGTTTCTTCCTTGGGACTAAGAGTTCTCTTCCAGGAAGAGAAGGCTCTGCTAGCCCTTAGCCCTTAGCATATGGCACGTGACAGGTCCAGGGGACTTCATGGATGTGCGTCCCCAAGTGATGCTAGTGGTTGGGATACTGTGTGAGTTAGAGAAGCACTGAGGTTTTAAATGGTTGTCTGCTGTGACCAGAAAGTTAACCTTGTGCTGCTCTCTGACCATGGAGTTTTGGCGGTCCTGGCTCTTGGCAAGGGTGGAGGGAGTGCACTCTGGGAATACAGCCGTGTGGCCGGGTGGTCAGTCCCCAGGCGCTGCAGACAGGCGGGGTGTGTGCAGAGAGGCTGGTGGGTGCTGGGTGTGGGCAGTGAGTGCTGAGTTTGTCTGTGAGTGGTTCTCTGACACCTGGCTCCTCCCTAGCACATACTATTGGTCTCCGCAGTATCCCTTCTGTACAAGGACATGCACATTCTCATGCAAATCTTGAGTTCCTCTCCCTTCTCAGTGTATGAGATCCTTTTTCTCTCAAGGAAATGATCTGTAACTCAGAGATGGGAGTTGAGTTGGAGCAGCTCATTTAGTTGGGACGCATTACCCACTCCTTTAATCCCCACAGAGGAGCTGGAGCCGACTTGGCCCTCAGGGGTCACAGTAGGATGTTGAGGAACCACTGTCTTGGTGGAATTGATTTTGCCTAACAGGAAAGTTTGTCCTTAAAACAGCACTCAGTCTGGATCCTTCAGATTCCCAAGGTAGTACTGAATGATACAAGCTCTAAGTTCCCTTTCAGCAGTCACATTCCATCTTGAGTCAAGGGGAAAGTCCCTCTGTAATTCTCTGAAGCCCTTGATCATGCTTCAGCCTGGGGACTTTGCAGTACATCTTTAGAGAGCTAGGCAGAAGCTCAGTATTTACTGGCTATGATTGAATCTTTGGCTGTTGAGTATTGATTAATGCAATCATGTGGCTTTTCTCTCTGCAGCTGTTCCCTTTCCTCCAAGTCACCGGCTCACAGCAAAGGAAGTGTTTGACAATGATGGGAAACCTCGAGTGGATATCCTAAAAGCACATCTCATGAAGGAGGGCCGGCTGGAAGAGAGTGTGGCATTGAGGATAATAACAGAGGGTGCTTCGATTCTGCGACAGGAGAAGAACTTGCTGGACATCGATGCGCCCGTCACAGGTAAGTCCTGGGGATGCAGCCTGTTCCCTGCACTTCCACCCTGTTGTCTGCGGTCCGGTTTGCAGGGAGTCCCGAGACACGGCACTCATTGCACGCATGCATTGCTGAGCCTGCACCCTGAGGACTGAGGTGCTGCCGGTCTGTGGAGCATGGTCATTCTCTGGAAAGCACCCACTGGAGGTCTTGTTCCACTGCGTGTGTGCTACTTCGTATGGTGGAACCACCCTGCTGGAGCTAAGATGTAGTGTCACTAGGCAGGCACAGTACCTGGCACCAAGCACACAGGTTACCTGCAGGGACTCCAGACCGAGACAAGCTCAGCCCAGGTTGTGGCACAGACCAGCTCAGTGCCACAGTCCTTGTTGGGTGATCCCAGTCCTACCTCTTGCTATGACCTGGAGGTATCAGAGTACAGATCTCAGGTACCCCTGCAGACTGGCCTGCCTGACCTCTATTGATTAGGGCACATGCATCTGGCAGCTATTGCATCTCAGGAAGAGCAGATTGCGCTGTTTCCTGTGGCAGTTTGTGGCCAGAGGCTGCGTTCTGACATTAGAATGCTCTCTTCCTATTACTTGTGGTGGGCAGATGTGCATTTCATGAACGCGTGCTGTGCTTGGGCACAGAATTCAGTCTCACCAGGAAGTAGAGCATCTGATACTAGCCAGTTTGGATCCATACTTGAGGAGTTTGCTAAACTTGCAGACTTCATCTTTAGAGACAATAAATCTATTTATTCCCCTTCACATATTTTCCTTTTGTTAAAGGAAATACTGTCCTCAATGAAAGAAAAGAGACGTTTAAAATACTCATATTTGCTTGCTTCTCACTCTTAGAATATTACTGATCTTCAAACATCTATTTGACTGTGGCTATTAGAAAGAAAAGCTATCCTCAATTTCATACTACAACTCCTAGATTGAAATGTCCCTGTTGATTTCTATACCTAAGAAATTGGCTCTGTATGCCTGTTAATTTTGATTGGCAATGCGGTTTTTTCTTGTTTGGATGTAGAGAAAAAGTTGACCTTGGGTAGGGTGAGGTGGCAGGAGGTGTCCACACCAGTGGTATTACTCCTATGTGGGACCGTTGGTGACTAAGGCAGTCTGCAGAATCTCTTGTGTGTATTGTGCCAAGCTCTGGATTCCATAATATCAAATGGTGTATTGAATTACCCCCAACTCATAGACACTAAAGGTAGAGAGGCAAAGCAGATGTGGGCCTTGGTTCCTCTCTTACATCCTCGAATATCAGAATTCCATTTAACTGCTGTTTCAGAACCTACAGCAGTGAAGTTACTTTTAAAAGTTCTACTGGCTATGAAGTCTATCTGCATAGTAATGACATAATGTAAGTATTGTTTGATACCTGTATCATTGGGCATATTATTTTGATAAGAACAAAGGGTATACTTTGTTGAATTTATCTCTTCTCCATTTCTCACCATCATATATGGCATGGAGTGATGAATTCATATGAAAGTCACTCCTGGGCCCAGTCGGTGTTAAGAGGTGGCAGTGATAACTGAAAGGAAGCCTGTGGGTGAGATGTTTAAGGCGCTGTGTGCTCTGGGGCGGCTTCCTCATCTCTTCTGTTTGATTTGCTCTGTCCTGAAGGGACGGAGGATCCTAAAAGAATCCTGAGCCCCGGACCTTCCCAGGTCAACCTCACTGATCTCCCCCAACTTGGTGAGGGACACCACACCCAGCTCTTTCCATGGGGTCACAGGTGACACCAGGCCAGCTTCAGGACAGAGACACAAAGACCACTTGGGGAATGAGGACCCACGCTGAATGCCTTCCCAAGAGGTGGAGCTACAAAATAGATGGAGCTGTCACAGACAGAGCAGTGACCCTCTCAGGGTGGAACAGGGCAGGAGGTCTTCTCTTTGGAGTGGACTTGACTTCTCTTCATAAAGTGGAGTCCTGAGGAGGATCACTGCAGTGATTTTGCCCATTTTTCTGGGAACAAAAGGATAAAACATAAAAGTAGTGAGCGGAGAGGGAAAAAAGGCATTTTAACGTTTGGATAGAAGGGAGAAGTATTTTTATGTTTAGTTTACTGGAAATTGAATGTCTGTGTTTGTTCAGGCTGCTGTGACAAAATCCCATAAACTAGATAGTCATGAAGAACAGAAATCTGTGGTCCACAGTTCAGAGCGTGAGGAGTGCAGGCCATGGTGCAGACATGCTCTGAGTCTGTGTGGCCGTCAGGGATCTGAGGGCGCTGTCTGTCTACTGTGCTCATGTGGGAGGCAGGACAGGCCTCTCCCTGGGGCTCTGCAGCAGCGGGTGAACTGGTCACAGGCTTCTAGCCCACCCTGCTGACCTGACCCTGCCCTGGCTCTCCTTCCCCCCTCAGATGGGATCAGATCTCAACAGACGGATTGAGGAGACTAAAAGCATTTAGACCTGGCAGCCAGGTTTATATCCTGCATTCTGATCCATGGTTTTCAGAGCAAAAACTGGAACCTGAGGGGACTGCAAAAGGAAAGAAAGGTAGACTGATGTGAGAAAATGGCACTCTTTGTACTTAGAGATAGAGTTCAGGATCCGGCCTGACATTGACATCTGACATGCTCCAAAACAGCACATCAGCCGTCCCTCCATAAGGCAGATTTCAGAGCACTTCGGGTTTTTGGCTTACTTAGCAGTCCATCCATGCATTCCTACGTCTAAACCCCCCCCAAATCTGAGAGTTCTTTTTATCTGGACAGCTGAGCCAAGAGGATGATATGTATTTTTAAATTTAAAATTTATTTTTCATTTCGCTGAAATCAGTAAAGTTGTGTTTCATTATTAATATCAGGGTATACAGTAAAGCATAGTGTTTATACTTTAAAATCTTCAGGATATATTCTTTATATAATCAAGAATTCCACATTTGAGACTGAAACAAAAAATGTAAAAGAGAAGAAAGAAGAGGAAAAAGAAGGGGGAGAAAAGAAAGGAATGACCAAGGAAAATATGCAAATTACAAATGAGAACCAGGGAAGAAAGATTAGGGCAGAGAAGCTAGGACCCTAATTTAGGGGTGGTTCGGAAGCCTGACACCAACCCTGCGGAGGTCCTCAAGTGAAAGGGGAGAGAGAGAGCACCGCATTCGCATTCCTGAGATGCTGAGGCCAGTGGGTTGAGGCTGAATCTGGGCACTCACTTTCAGCTTGCGGTGTGTTAGATTTGTAAGCTCTGAAAACAAATGGCTGATCCTTTATAGTTTACACGGTCTCCCCCATTCGGGTCTCCTACTATACCCTAATAGAATGTTTATTTGCCAGTGTTTTGGGGAGAGTAGTGCTGGCATCTGCTCTGGTTTCCCTGGGTATGAGAACTTAAGAATGAACATGCTAGCAACTGGGACTCTGGTGTTGCTATATTCCTTTAACTGTCTTTAGAGTCTGCCTGAACAAAGCTGCTCACTTTCACATGCTTATATAGCAGCACAAGCTGTGCTATTTGGATTTTTTCTCCTTAAAATTCTGGAGAAGACAGGAGCAGGAAGCTGCCTGTTTTGTTGCCTGGCTCCCTGTCCCCACCCACCTGGAGAATAGTGTGACCTTCCTGTCGCTTAGGAGAGGATGGGAAGGCAGCAGACCACCTCCTGGGAAGTCCCTGGTCCAGACAAGGGCCCTGAAGCCCCTCTGCACTTTCTCTGAGCCACAGTGCCTCATTAGAAAGAGTGTCGCTGTTATTGAGATTGTAATTCAGACAGTATTTTTCTTAGTTGAGATATCATATAGAAAAAAAAATTTCCTTTTTTGACTTCTGAAAATTGAGTTGGATTTGTTTCTGTTCCCTTGAAAACAAACGAAGGGAACATTAAAAAAAGTATTGCCACATTTCAGAGCAGCCGCTCACTTTGGTAAATCAGCTTGGCAAATGCGTGTTGGATGTTCACTGGGTGCAGACGGCTTGAGTTATAAACATGGGAATGAGACCTGCTCTCTGCCCTCCAAGGCTTAGAACAGAATGGCAGGAATGCAAGCAGATGTTTGTCCAGAAAAAAGTACATCTAACCACTTATTAGATCAAATTATATAATCTAGATTTATTCAAGTAAATGAAATATCCAAGTGAATTTACTTAAAGCCAAAAAAGTTTTCTAGCTTCTAAATGGCTATGGTTTCCCCAGTAATGTGGGTACAAATTATTATATTCCACCCTTGAGTTTAAAAACTACAAAATAGCCAAGATCCTACCTGCCTTGCCTCTAGATCATGAACTTTTGTGGGACATTAGGATGGTGAGAGGTGTGAGGTGTCATCCCTGACTGGGACGTCAGTGGCCTGCCTGGGTCTGTGGCACATCGACAGGTGAGAACCACATCGCCTGCTGAGTCTACGGCGGAGGTGCCTGAGATCTGGCCTGCGCAGTTGGGGGAAGGAATACAGAGGACGAGGAATTCCTGGACTGATTATGTGAGAGTTGGACTGGCTCACGTGATGATTAAGATTTTGCTGTGTGAAAAAGCCAGGAAGGGGAACTGGAGAGAGGTGACAGCATATAGAAGACACTGGTGACTTTTGGGAAGTAGCAAGCACAGCCCTGGAGGTTTGGTGCAGAAGGAAGGCCTGGGGAGGAAGCTGAGGTCCAAAGGGCAGGGCCTCTGGAGCAGTGGGCCACGGTGCTGCCTGGGATGAGCAGGGAAGGAGGGAGGTGCGCCCAGGAGAGGCTGACGGAGTCCTTCACCCTCAGACAGGGCAGCTGAGGTAACTTTGGCAGGGTACGAATTGGATCCATTTTTGATTACAGAGTCTTTTAAAAAATGGTCATTAAGGTTGATTCTGAAACATCTGCTGAGTTTTTATTTACAGAAACTGTATCTGCAAGAGACTTCCTTAGTCTGGAGAGCGATCTGTGCAGGGATCCAGGCTTCAGGCTCTCTCCTGAAGCCTTCCCGTTCTCCTGCTTGTCCTTGGACCTAGCAGGAAACGCTCTGCTCTTGCGAAGCGCAGGCAGAACTGGAGCCTGGGGTTAGGAATGGACACCCTGAGCCCTGGT